GAATTCGCTTCATGATATTCACACATCTTTTTCGAAAAGGTTTATCATTAAGGAATATTCTTTTATCGTACATTTACAAAAATTAGATGAACTGGATACAAGGGGAAAAAGCAGACTTCTGTACTTCAGAAGTACAGAAGTACGAAGAAGTACGAAGAAGTACCGAGAAGTACGAAAAAGTACCGAGAAGTACCGAGAAGTACCAAGAAGTACCAAGAAGTACAAAGAAGTACCGAGAAGTACGAAGAAGTACGAAGAAGTACCGAGAAGTACCAAGAAGTACCGAGAAGTACCGAGAAGTACCGAGAAGTACCAAGAACTACAAGGAGTGCAAAAACTTGCTGAGAAGATCGTTAAACTATATTTGTCAGAAAAATAACAATTGAAAGAGTAAATTATGAGAGATTTTTATCATATTTACGACTGTTTAGATAACTCGAGTGTCGATCATTGGAAAACTCAATAAATTTAACTTGTAACAGCTGACACACTGATTGTTTATGTAAATAGTGTCAGGTGAAATTAGACAGTTTTCAAAATACTTGAAAAGCTAAAACTGGAAAAAATAGATTGAATCACTGCTGCCATATACTAAGTTATGTTCAACTTTAATTAAAATTTAGGTAAATTCACAAAGCTTTAGAGAGCGCAAGTATTTTCGATAGAAACCAAGCTAAGTTTAGGAAGATGTAAACTTTGTCACTTTTGCCACTAGCAAAACAGTTTGCCAAGTAGTGCTCTACCAAAAGATAAACAATGATGAGTAGATTTTTTCGATACCTATTTGTGTTTGAATTTAAGCCCCAGTGAGATGTCTTTATATGCGACTAGCACAATGCCAGATAAACAATATCAATGGAATTGATAAATATTCTTCTTGATAGTTCTATTATAGGAGATGCAAAGAAATCTAATAAAACGATATGAGATTTAGATTTATAACACTGATATTTGAATATAATTTCAAAATTCAAAGACTCAACAAAAACATACCTACGATTCAAAAGGTGGATATCTTCTTTTAGTAATTATGTAATAATGACTTTCAACAACAATCGCGAAGAACACAATAGCAAGGGAGCGATAGCACAGCGGAAGAGACAACCTACAAAATGAATAGATGACAACAAAGGTAACGACACTTAGTGCCGTTCGAACCTCTCCTGCTATAAAAGAAACAGTTAATTTTCGTCAGAAGCTTCAAAATTGAGATAAATACATGCGAAGACAGCCACGATCTGGTCTTTCATTAGCGACAAAACGTTTTGTTCTGCGCCTCCTTTTTTCCAAAAATATTCTAACACTTTTTTCATCCTCTGCTCGCAAAATATACTGCTTTTGCAAAAAGCGTAAAATAGTTTTCGTTTTTACTCAGTTCATGATAGATCGGACGCACAACCCAAATTTCCCTGACCAGATTCATGTTACGAATTTAATTTTGTGGAGCACCATCAGAGAGGAGTATTGAAGTATATAGCGTAGAAATTTGCGCCCCCTCGCACCGCTCCCCACAGATCGCGACAGACAGAGTCCAGAGGTCTATCAAAGATCAATTATAAATAACGTCTAGTTGGAATGTATTCGGAGTATTTCCTTGTTGACATTCTAAACTGTAAATTAAGAGAATTAGGAAAAACAGGTGCATCTTGTTTCACATTTTAATCCGACTGAGATTGCGCTGACATATTTTTTTGTTGCAAAGAACACGCCAAGATGCAAGGCATCACAGAGCCCTTTTTTTAAGTTAACTTTTTTATTATCATATAAGATAAGATCAATAGAAATCGCTTTCCCCATTTTTCAGAGTTTTTTAGTCATTGAAATTGTGATTTCTTCTTTCCGCTTAAAAATAAGAATTTAGAAAAGAATTGTGATGCCCTGAATCTCGACACGCTCTTTCAAAAAAAAGAACTACGTATGTGACATAAATCTGGACAGAGAACTTCGGGTCGCCAAATGAGCTATTTTTGATCTTTGTCCGATCAATATCTCCCACAAACATCATGATAATGGGCTGAAAATTTTGTAATAGCTGCTTCACTAGAGGCCCTACATTTTCTGTAAAGTTCATGTCATTTGGACATATCTTAAGCTGACATCGGTTTTTGAGTGGGAAGGCTTAAGGTTCCTCAAATATGGTATGCAGAATATAAATATAGAGGAAACCAAAAATAAGCAATCACCAGGCACATTTCAGTGTTTTTTTCATCAATCAATAGTTTGATCTCATCAATGGATAACACAGAATAGGCAACAGTCCTTAGAGAAGCAATCTATAGTTGGTCTTTGGTGGAGATCTATTGAAAAATGTAATAATGTCTCTTTTATGCTCTACATTGGTTATTGAAAAGACTCAAGTTTTTGCGCGTATTCTTTTAACTTTTTTGGTGTTCTATATGATTTGATTTTATGTATTTGTCTCCACTGTTATTTATTCAGAACCAATTACAATTGGTGTAATTAGAGCATCATTGATATTAACTGAAAATAGTGAAATAGTTTCAATGATTGTCGAGGTAGACAGAAATGCCAAGAAGTACTGAGAAGTACCGAGAAGTACCGAGAAGTACCAAGAAGTACGAAGAAGTACCGAGAAGTACCGAGAAGTACCGAGAAGTACTAAGAAGTACCGAGAAGTACCAAGAAGTACAGAGAAGTACGAAGAAGTACTGAAGAAGTACCAAGAAGCACCAGGAAGTACAGAAGTCTGCTTTTTCCCCCTTGGATAAGTTTGTGAGAAGTTAGCTGGAAGTCTGCCCTTTTAAAAGAGATATAGCTTTTTATTTCGTACATCGTTTTTAGCGAGATTTTTGATGTTTCCGCCATCAACTACCTGAAAAATAAGCTGGTTTTTGATGAAATCGAAAAATCTTTTTCGTTTTTTCTCAGTTCATGATTTGTCGAATGTTCAAAATGAAACTTCTCCGTCCAGGGTAACTATACAGGATGGTCCAAAAGTAACGAAGCAGTCTTTGATTGCGAATAACTTTTGATAGAAACAAGCTAGAGAGCTGCGGTTTTCGTCGTTTAAAAGAGAAAAAAAAACGGCATCGAATCTGGAATACTAGATTTTTATGACAATAGTCACTCGGAATCTCCAGACAATTTTTGTAATAGAAATTATTGTGTAATATGAAAGTTTTAGAATTTTAATTTTTAGTAGTGCATCAGAATCGTTAACTAAGGTTCAATAATCTATGTAGGTTCAACGCCAAAAAGATTTAGCAAATTATTAGTTCTTAACATTTTACTACGCGTTCTCGGCAGATTCTTGGCGAAAAGCTGAGTTTTTTCCTGATATTTTGACGAAAAATCCACTGTTTTAGACCTATTTAAAAAGTCTAAGTTTTTTAAAGAAGCTTGTCCGGAAACCATGAGAAATTTTGTTATAAAAATCCGGTATTCAAGATTCGATACAGTTTTTTTCTCTTTTAAACGATGAAAATCGCAGTTCTCTAGCTTGTTCCTATCAAAAGTTATTCGCAATCAAAGACTGCTCCGTTACTTTTGGACCACTATGTATACATTTAATTTTTTTTTTAAACAGCATGTCAAAACGTGCGGCACCAAAGAGTCCTTCTTTTTAGGTAAGCTTTTTTCTGTTATATGTACAATCACTTTTATAAATTGAACTCACTTTTTTAGAGAGTTTTGTGACTCATCAAAATTGTAATTCCTTCTCTCCTTTCAAGAAATCAAATTTCAAAAACAAATAAGTCCTTGGTGCCTTGCATCTTGACATGCTCTTTTCATAAAAAGAAAATTAAATATATATACAGACCCGAGGCCGAGAAATTTAGGATGCCGAATCAGCTATTTTTGAACCTTGTCTGATGAATATCTCTGCCAAATGTCATGGTATAGAACTGAAAATTTTACCATAGCTTCTTCATTACAGCTACAACAGATTCTCCAAATGTCACGGCATTAGAATGTTTCTGGGCTGAGATAGATTTTTGAGAGTGGAGAGACTTTAAGACTGAGTCATGTGTGTTTAGTCTATTTTGAATGTATCTATTTATAAGATTTATATTTCAAATTCAAATACCTAAATCAATACGATGATGATGCATTTGTGTATGTAATTTCCATATTGCATCTGGATTTATATCGAGATCTTTATCGATGTATGCAGCAGCAAAGAAATAAACAATTCAAAAAAAGTAAAATTTCAATGAGCAAATCTTAAAATGAAATGGGCAATTGCCCATTTGCCTCCCCCTTGGATACGCCACTGACTACAAATGATTTTACAAACATATCTATTTGTCATTCTTGTATACAAAAACAAATCCTTAATTTTGAGAAGAGACTTAGACAAATCTGAAATAATCAAACTAAATCTGTGCTCGGTATGTAAGACTGAGATTTTTATTTTTCTAAACTTGAAAAAATAATATTCAGAAAAAAAGAAAAACAAATGGTGATTTTTAATATTTCGTAATTATAGATTACTTTCATNACATAATATAAAAATATTACTTGCTGTTGGTGGATGGAACTTTGGTTCAGCTGATTTTTCTCATATGGTGAAAAATGAACAATTACGAAAAGATTTTGTTCAGCAAGCAACATTATTTATACGCCATCATCAATTCGATGGTCTTGATCTTGATTGGGTACAAATAATTAATAAGACTAAATTTTTCTATTTCATTTAAAAGTGATAGCCTTGAACAGTATTTCAGAATTTTGTTCATATAAATAAAAACTCGGCATATCCACCTATCATTTATAAAAAGCAATTGATAAAATTAAATTAAAAAGTAAATATATATGAAAAAATGTTAAGGAGAAAAGATTTTTGAGATACTCTGTTTATCAAAATAAAACATACACGAATAGATATTGTTTGTATATTGTCGTACGAGATCCAAGTATCTTCGTCATAAGCATACATTGATTTTTGTATATCATCATACTTACTTATCCATTGACCATTGTTTAATTTTTCACATATCTAAAATAAATAAGAAAATAATGGATAAATCTTGGATATTTTATAGTTTAACCTCATAATAAGCAATAAATCCATATTCTTTTGTATATTTTTCAGGTTCACCTGGACCTGAACTTAATAGACGATTTCCTCTATCTGAATTATTCAACAATTTAAATGTTCGTCCATATGTCGCTAAACCCATAGTGATTTTTTCTTTTGGCATTCCTTGTTTTATCCAATAATTAATCGACCAATTCTGAAGAAAAATAAATAAATAAATAAATAAAATTTTAACTTAATTAAATGAAATTTGCAGAATGTTCATCGAACTTGATTAAGTGTTATTTGATATTGATCTTCTTGTGGATGTTCATATAAAGCAGTATGATGACTAGTCATATTTTTCGATTCACCCGCATGAAAATCATACGTCATTAAATTAATAAAATCAATATACTTAGCTATTTTATCTATTTCATAAGCAGTTTCAATAGTTGACTTTTCAGCAGCAACAACTGCTGTTAATAACAAATTATAAGGTTCAAAAGCCACTTTTAATTCCTAACAAAGAACATCATCAATTTTATTCAAGAAATTTTATTTTCGAAACAAAAACAAACTTTGATTAAACTAGTGAATAATTGTTTATCTTGTGGTCGACTACCTTGTCGATTTGCAGGATATTCCTAAGAATAAAAATGAAATTTCAATTATCTTATTAATTATTTGTACCCAATCAAGATCAAGACCATCGAATTGATGATCACGTATAAATAATGTTGCTTGCTGAACAAAATCTTTTCGTAATTGTTCATTTTTCACCATATGAGAAAAATCAGCTGAACCAAAGTTCCATCCACCAACAGCAAGTAATATTTTTTTACTATGTGTTTTTTTAATGCCAAAATTCGTGAATACATGCCTAAATTTGATTAGAAATAAATATATTTATAGAAATAAAAATAAACCAAAAGCGAGCTCAAATCCATCTCGTTGTGGTATGTCCTAGGTTATGCCAACACACACCTCTGCAAATCTCTCATGATCTACGACACAAAAAGTTTTGATACGTCGCCTAGAAGTAGGATTATTGGGGTACGTCTCTTGAGCATGATCTAAAGACGAAGCTCATATGCCAGCGTTTGATGGTCGGTTGAACACAAGTATTTGTAGATCAACCGAGATTAAGTCGAATAAGATACAGATGCATACAGTGAGACAAGAATGTATAGCTAGCCATGGTTTCGCCAACTATCCTAACAGACATGAGGGCTGGTATCATAGCTCAGCAGCATGTTCAGTAGAAATGAAATATCGGATTCGACAACATCAATGCAATATGGAAATAGGCATATAACACGTGGCAAATCCCAGAACTGATTGGGGAAGCTACAACATATTGAGTAGATATTGTTGGAATTTTATCAACCAAGCGGAGACCTATTGTATACTGGTTATGAACAATGAATGGCAATTCTTATATTCTGGTGTTAATTCATAAATTCATGTTCAAACAGAAGTTTCAGTACTTTTAAGTCCTCGAAAAAATGGAAACCAATCAATGAGAGAGTTCCTCTTATAAGGTTGCAGTTAAAAGTGTATGCCTCTAACATGGAGTTGATTATGTGGCCTTTCTCGATGAATTCTTCTGAACTATGAAGAATATTCCCGCGATAGATACTTTAATACTGATCGAAAACTTCAATGGTCACGTTGACAGCAACTTACCAGCGTGAAAGTATGTAATCAGATGAAATTATGATAAATGCCTCGACATATAAGACCAACAACTATTGGATTTTTACGTAACTAGTGATCTGTCGATAGTGAATACCTTTTTTCAACACAAGAACATTCACAAGTATAGATGGTATAAAACAGAAGATTTCATGGCTGAACGATCATTAATTGACTTCATTATCGTATAGAATGATGCATGACGAGCCGTGGTGAATGTTCAGGTAAAAGAGGCGCCAAACTAGCTACCGATCATTAGCTGATGGTTTGTGCTCTGCGGCTATTCTCATCTATTCAACATTAGAAAAACAAACCGAAGAGGATGATTACAATATAGTGAGAAACGTTGGCTGATAAAGAGATCTACCAAAATTTTCCGAATAAAGTCGATTAATGACACTTTGAGATACCACAGAACGAGGTTGACATTAAATTTGACTGGTTCTTATTTTGTATGGCAGTACGAGACGCTGTAGCAGAACCTTTTGAAATCAAACATGTTGGACTGGAAAACAGCTATAAAAAACTTCATGGTAGATCGAAAGAATTCGTATATTCTTCTAGACAAGAAATCGACGTATTCTATATGGATTCAACGACAAACAGTAGAAAATTAACCGTGATATAATCAATTATGAGACAACGTGAAGAAACTTGTGGCTGAAGCAAAAAGATTTCATGGAATAATTTCGGACACCATCTAGAATCCAACTATCATTCGACTAGCAAAGTGTTTTGGCAAGTCATACAACGACATCGTAAGGATGGATCTACACTTATCGGCATGGCCACGCATCGGTCACCCTCGTATGGGGAAGGTTCAAGATCACAAAAGTGAGGAATAATGTCTCGATAGTCGGAAATGTGCTATCAACAGATTACCAAACCTGTTGCAAGCTATAAGAGGAGTGATATAAACTTCACTTTTTGGTTCGACAGGTGTTGAAAAAGAGATTTATTGACTAATTTCATCAAAAAAGCGTAATTTGTTACTTTTTCACATTGCATTTTTGTCTGAAAACTAGATAGAAATTCTTGTGAGATTCCATTGCGAGAATAAAACACACATACTGGAAAGATAAAATTATCTGTGTACTACTCATGTATCAGAAAAAAGATCAGTTTTATCGTAACAGGTTAAAATGGCAATTTCTGACATCTTCCCCTGTAGAACTACAAAAAAAGATGAAATTTCGTAACGAGCGATATTTCAAGTTTCTTATTTGATGAAGCTAAGACGAATCAGAAATGACCTGATATTCTAATAGTTTGTTAAAAGCTGAACAACTTTTGAATATAACCTTCATTTGAATACTTCGTTCTTTTGTATAAAAATGCTTAACTTGTAGCCTCCCTAAAAAAAATTTCCACTTTTAGAAATTCCGTAACGGTCACTATTTTTTGGATAACTCTGCTGCGGTTGAAGAGAAATTTGTGAAATTTTTACTGATAATCGATCTAAGTGAGCTGTATTTATAATAATAATTTCAGACAGTTCGCTTGTATTACTAAGCAGTTATACAGGTTGCAATCTGAAAAAATGAAATTCCATCACGCGTGGCCACGCCGAATACTAGATTTTTATGACAATATTCACTCGGAGTCTCCAGGCAATTTTTGTAATAGAAATTATTGTGAAAGGTGAAAGTTTTAGAATTTTAATTTTCAGTAGTGCATCAGAATCGTTAACTAAGGTTCAATAATCTGTGTAGGTTCAACGACAAAAAGATTTGGCAAATTATTAGTTCTCAACATTTTACTACGCGTTCTCGGCATATTCTTGGCGAAAAGTCAAGTTTTTTCCTGATATTTTGACGAGAAATCCACCTTTTAGACCTATTTAAAAAGTCTAAGTTTTTTAAAGAAGCTTGTTCGGCAACCATGAGAAATTTTGTTATAAAAATCCGGTATTCAAGGTTCGATACGGTTTTTTTCTCTTTTAAACGATAAAAATCGCAGTTCTCTAGCTTGATCTTATCAAAAGTTATTCGCAATCAAAGACTGCTCCGTTACTTTTGGGCCACCCTCTATACATTTAATTTTTTTTTGAAACAGCATGCCAAAACGTGCGACACCAAAGAGTCCTTCTTTTTAGTTAAGCTTTTTTCTGTTATATGTACAATCACTTTTATAAATTGAACTCTCCTTTTTAGAGAGTTTTTTGACTCATCAAAATTGTAATTCCTTCTCTCCTTTCAAGAAATAAAAATTCAAAAAAAAGTCTTTGGTGCCCTGCATCTTGGCATGCTCTTTCCATCAAAAAAAATAAATATATATGCAGACCCGAGACCAAGAAATTTAGGATGCCGAGTCAGCTATTTTTGAACCTTGTTTGGTGAATATCTCTGCCAAACATCATGGTATAGAACTGAAAATTTTACCATAGCTTCTCCATTACAGCCACAACAGGTTCTCCAAATATCATGGCATTAAAATGTTCCTGGGCTGACATCGATTTTTGAGAGTGGAGAGACCTTAAGGCTGAGTCATGTGTGTTTAGTCTATTTTGAATGTATCTATTTATAAGATTTATATTTCAAATTCAAATACCTAAATCAATACGACGATGATTCATTTGTGTATATAATTTCCATATTGCATCTGGATTTATATCGAGATCTTTATCGATGTATGCAGCAAGAAAGAAATAAACAATTCAAAAAAAGTAAAATTTGAATGGGCAAAGCCTTACGTTCAAAAATTACAATGGGCAAATATTAAAATGAGATGAGCAATTGTCCATTTGCCTCCCCCTTGGATACGCCAGTGAAACATAATTATATTAGAGTGTAAAAGAATTCATACAATCTTTTTAGTCTAGACATTATGTAATGCACAAAACAAAGAAACTGTTGTTTTTCCATTCATTTGTTTCAAAACTACCGATAATTGCTGCAAATATACATGTTCATTCGTTCGAAGTCTGAAGAGCTCGGATGTGAGTTTGAGTTATGAGAGAGCCAACACTCAAATTATTGCAAGATTCTAAACTTTTCATATGGCATCAACGCTATGGGTGTAGATCAGAGATGAGCACAGGACAAGATTTTCTCTCCTGTCCTGTCCTGTCCTGCTAGCTATCTAGGTCCTGGCGGACGGTAGGACAGGACAAAAATCAAAATCTTGTACTGTCCTGTTTTTGTCCTGCTAACTTTTGTGTCCTGGCGGGCGGCAGGCCAAGACGTCACGATTTCTGCCGTGTTTCTACCAATTAAATCCGTTTTCACAAGTTGTAAAATGCCAAGGGTGAGTTTTAGTTTTACTTTCATTGTACAAAGCAAATATTACCAATTAATATTCTCTAACTAATGCATTTTATATAGTTTTCAAGAAAAAAAAATATATTAGAGATGAGCACAGGACAAGGATTTTTTACCTGTCCTGTTCTGTCCTGCTAACTTTTCTGTCCTGGCGGGCGGCAGGACAGGACAAAAATAAAAATCTTGTCCTGTCCTACAGGACAGGACAGGACAGGACAGGGCACCAGGACAACAGGACCTTCCTGTCCTGTGCTCATCTCTGGTGTAGATGTAGCCCTAATTTTCTGGATCTAAATAAGACATACCCACACTCATCCACATCCGCACCCTTCAACACAGGAACAATCGATAGTGGACATTTTTAAAATGAAAGTACCAGAAGATGTAATGTTTCCTTTTATATTCACCACATCTTTAACTCTGGAATTTGACTATTTTTGATCAATAAAGAAATCGTACGAATACTTTTTGTCGCAAGTGTCTTTTAAAAAAGAAACTGTTTGAGAGAGAGAGAAAATAGTTATAAAAAAAACAGATGAAATTTTGTTTTTTTTTTTNGTGTGGGTGTGTGTGTGGGTGTGCGTGTGTGTGTGCGTGTGGGTGTGCGTGTGGGTGTGCGTGTGGGTGTGCGTGTGGGTGTGCGTGTGGGTGTGCGTGTGGGTGTGGGTGTAAGTGTTCTCTAAATCCAAATCGACACCCAGACCCAGACCCAGACCCAGACCCACACCCACACCCCACACCCACACCCACACCCACACCCACACCCACACCCGCACCCACACCCACACCCGCACCCACATCCACACCCAAAATGATATTGATTAGAACTAAATAAAATTTTATTTGGTACGATCTGAAAACTAACAGGGCCAGTTTTCTTCACGCATCTTGCTATTTAGATCCACCTATGGAATCTTAGTTTAGAGCATATTACATAGAAAATCCTCTTGATTATAAAATCACGATCTATATTTATACTAGATAACATTATTCGAACAACAATCTTCTATAACTAAATATGGTGATCATTACATTTTCGAAAGAAATAAATAAAAAATAATTCTTCAAGTACAAAGCAAATTTGATGAATTTTATAAATTGATACTAGACAATAAGATTAAATTTTAATCACTATACTTTGAAATATGAGATTCTTATCTAAAAGTTTTATCGCATTACATTAAACAATCATGTCTTCACTATCTTGAATTTCAAATTCTGCACTTCATGACACGAAACCAATTTCAATCGAACATCTACTAATGAAAATACTTGAAAGAAAATGAAAAGAATTAAAAATAATAATCATGGAATTATATGAAAGTGAATTCCAATAGATACAAGATCTGCGGAGAGCCCTGTCTCTCTCACATCATCAATCAGTCAGTATAGTATAGATGAAGTACGGACTGTGGACTCGTATTTGATTCGCTTCTGACAATTCAATAAATGAATATTGCAACGAGGATTTATTTTTATTTATTACATATGCCACTGAATAACGAAATCTTTATTAAATAAATTCTTCTATTATTATTTTCTTATAAATACGAGCTAACAATCATTCATCAACCATTGAACAATACCTTTTTTTGTAAAACTTGAAGAGGTGTTTTAGGATTTTGATCGTCAAAATGATGTACGAAGTCCACTGACCTAGACACGATGATAAATTCCAATTGAATCGATTCAATACCTTGAAATAGAACTTCATTTATTTTATTAGCATTATTCATACCAAAAATCTGTATGCTTCGATTTGTAAAATAAATTCACTTCATGTTTATGTTTGGTATACACATTGACTAATTAATCTCTTCGATTCATTGCATTTGATACTAACGGATGGTCGAAACGATGTGGGTGTGGCTACCTTGCTTAAAATTGGGAGTTTATAGTAGTAGATTGATTTGAATTCTAAGTATACTCATCGATATTTATTTAGATAATTGAATATAAAGATAAGCATGGTATGAAGTGTTGATGACTAAGCATAATACCAATCTGAAATTATAATACTAGTGTTGATACTCTCTTTTAGATAGGGCTATTTATTGTTGTCAAAGTTTACTACAGATAGATTATATGCTCTCAACTAGGTACCGTTAAGTCTCAAGAGAATTTTTCAATAATTTTGTCTGAAAAGAACAAGAAAGTAAACACGATCGATAGATGAATTATGAATATCGGTTCTATCTTTAATCTAATATAAAAATTTCTATTAATCAATGATGAGCTTTTGGTACATCAACAGAAAAGAACGGAACGTCTGTGAAACGTATGAGATTTGAAAATATTTTTTTTTTAAATTAATTTCAGTGTTTATTTATTACATGATAAAAACAAACGAAATAATTGGAAAATCGAAGTATCAGTCGTTATAGAAATTTACCATGGTTCACATTCTTTCAGTTTTATTTTAACTTGAGGTGATTTGTCTTCATTGATTTGAATATCAATAATTTTAAATGCTATGTAGGGTAATATTAAAACTTCTTCTTCGTCTTGAAATATTGACATATCTTGAATATCTAATGCAGTTCTTTCATAGCGTATCTCATAAATACATATTGTACTTAACCGATCATCTTTATGAGGATTGTCACAAAGAAACGTTGATGCTATATTCAATTGTTTTGATGATGAGGAAAATGTTTTATTTAGAATTTTTGTCCCTATCTGGTATTGGCATAAATCATTATTAGTTATCATCATACCACGAAATACTGTTCCCTTATACCACAATGTGTTGAATTTAGGATGGCGAGCAATTATTCCGATATAATATGCTTGACTAAGATTTTCATCATTAGTTAAATTTTCTAGATGCAATTGTGCTAGATGAATGTTGAGTGTGGAATAAAAACCAGTTTCAGCTGTATATGCTTTTAATAAATAAACAGGATCTTTTTCATTGATTGCCATATCAAAATATTGTCTGACTGTATCGATATCTTCAGTATGTTGTAAATCTTTTTCAAGATAATTTTTCTTTATATAATCAATCAATTTATAAAATTGGGGATCTTGTCCATATTTTTCCATAATTTTCCAATATTGATGTGCTTGAAAATCTGCTTTGTCTGTCGGAAAAATCCATTCGATAGATTCACTAACAAAACGACTCTTATTCATACGACGATGAATCATTTGCTTTATTCTATCAGTTTTTGCTTCATCCAATGGAGTAGAATTATATTTATTTAACGTTGTACAAGATGCACCTTTCTGTAGTAATAACTCTACAACTTTCTCATGTCCATAACATGCAGCTGCATGAAGTGCAGTAGATCCATTGGGTTCCATTTTATTAATTGTATCTAATGACATTGTTTTTAAATAGTTTTTGACTAAACTGATGTTATTGTCTCTACATGCTTTATAGAATGAACTTGTACCTGAAACAGTAAACCATCTATTTGTCATGGAATAAAGATTTTATGAAAGTTTTATATATACAATTTTGAAGAGAATAATCTGTGTAAATTTACACTGAACTTTTGCGATTCTCATCTTAGCAATTTGGCTTAACGATCATTGAACATTCATATTCTTCTAGTAATCGAAGATAGCAGACAACTGTTTCTTTACATAAAATTTCCTAACAATGGGGAAAGATACTGAATGCTACTAGCGAGCAAAGTTAAGACTGCTCTAGAAGATTCTAAACTCTGCTTTGAAATTCAAATGAGTAAAGAACATTTATGACATCAACTGAGTTTTCGACAAAGATATTGAATCGTCTACAACATACTATAGGGCATCGAAAGACAACTAAGACTAACGGAAATTTTCGTTTAGGCAGAAATGTCTTATGACAAAAAATGAACATCAACTGTGTTTTTGTTCTAACATATTTCTGATTTTCTTCTAAAAACGATAGTTGACTTCAAGCACACTTATTGTCAAGTTATTGTAAGACACTAAAAGAATCTCGAGAATGTGCTTGAATGAATAGGTAGGAAGATTTGAGCGAATTTTGTATGAATGTTTAAAATGATCTGAAATAATGATCTATGCATCTTTCCTATGCGTAGGTAAATTTGACCATGCTATGCACAAAATGATTAGTAATAAGGATTTTTTGTTAAAGATTTTTTCATGACAGTTTCTGATGGCTAAATTATTTATTGATTTCACAGAGTAGTTTAATAAGGACATTGCAATCAAGTCTTATACTTACTGAAAGGTTCATCTTTTGAAGTACACAGTGCAGTTTCGTGTTCAACAGGATCTAATTCCAACACATCGTCAGCTATTTCTTCCAAATCAATTTCATTAATTCCAAGATTATTGTTGTAAGATACATCATTCACATGTAGACGAGTACCTGGTAAAATGACGATTTCGTTTCTATTTTTATTACATGAATATGCCGATATATCTTTGCCATTAAGAACTAGAATATTCAATAGAGTAGAATTTTTTCCTAATAGTGATACAACGATATTATCTGGTATTGGTGTGCATGAGATGATACCCCACCATGTAATTATTTTGTTCTTCGAATAGTTTTCTTTAATTTCAGTAGGTATACCTTGATAAACATATCCACTTACAGAAGATAATTTGCTAAGAGCTGAGTAGATTAGTTCGAGGTACTTAAACCAATATGTTTTGAGATCAGTTTGGTATTTACATCGTAATGCTTGATTGAACAGACGACTTAAAATTCGATCGCCTGAATCCATAGTGTACAAATACAAAGCTGCTGATTCATCAATAGTAAGACTGTCTGAAGAATTGATATTGAAATTTCTTTTGGCCTCTTGTATGTATTGATTCAGGTGAGGAATAATTTTTCTTAAGGGTTCAACAGCTTCTTTCAATGTTATAAAGCGATTATTCTGATAGTCTTTGATAGGATTTAGTTTCTTATTTTCACAGTCGACGTCAGTGAACGGAGCAATCAAAATACGTTCGGGATCTATAATAATTTTATTTTTCATATTATGCAGTTCAATTCTGAATTAAGAAAAAAGACTGTTATTATATACACGTACATAATTATCAGTCTTAGAGAAACTACCATTCAAAACATCGATGATGTTTTATGAAGGTGTTTATAGATCTATCAATAACCACTAGAAGTTATCAAAAATGAAATATTTTGTACTAATTGCGAAACAAAGGTGATGAGGAATTTAAATAATATGTTATTGAATAAAGCAAACTCTTTATATTATTGAGGAAACTGAAGTTTTTAATGCAGAATATTTTTTTAAATGGTTTCCATTCGTAATTTGTTCCTAGATAATATAGTTTAAATTCGAACTTTCGCAATGAAAAGATTTTGTATTGATGGTAATGCAAGTTAATGTCTCAGAATTTCTATAAAATTTCATTTTTTTCCCATTAAAACATATCTGAAAGAAATAACTTCTCTAAACCAATACTTTCAAATTGAGATCAAGCAATTACTATCAGTTCTTGTCCTTTCGTTTCTGAAAACTTCTTGAATGCTCTAGAACACGATCAAAAGTTAACTTTGTATTCTTATTTTTAAAGTGATTACATAATTTCGATTCTGATCATAAAATATTTTTACACTTAGAGAGGTGTGGAACTATCTGTTCTTGTTAGGATAATTATGTCTATTTCGAATAGAGACTTCTAAAGAACTACACTAGTCGGTAATCAATATCGGTTTGCGTATCTGAGTATGACAGTTTTAATGAGTGATGAATTCGAAACTAAGTAATTTTTCGATCTTCAGGTTAAAAACAAACCATTTTATCAATATTTCGATAAAAGTTTGTACTTACCAGAATCCTCATGTGCTATATCTTGATAATCATCATGTTTCGATTGCGATGAAGATAAACCTACAATTGAGAGCAAACGTTTTTTGATAATATCAAATTTGATTTAATGCCTGAAGAACTATTATAATAAATAAATGGATTTCATGGATCGTTTTGTACAAGAAGTTTTCCAGAAAACTTAATTTCTATATTAAAATGTTTATAAAATAATTGAAGTTTTCATTGTGACTTCATTTCGATATGCTGGTAACCTTGACAAATATTTTCTTGTAAGAATCCTTTAGTCTTGAAAATATAGAAAAAAACTAAGAGATCTCTCAAGTTATCTATATTCTTTGTTCTCTTTCTTGTACAGTAAAAGATTTCACTACAAAGTTTTTCTTGATACTGAATTAAAACGTCCAGAAGAAAATATTGCTTCTCAGTAAATCTTAATGCACATTTATCTTGTTGTTTGAGGAAAGAGAAAACGATTGATGCTTACTAGTTGATGTCTGTTCGAATTGGCTATTTGAAATTAGTTGAGTTGATTTAGCTGCTTCTTGTTCCACTTCAGTTAATTCTTGTAAATGAACTAGCGTTAAAGTGTTATCTTCCTTATATGGTTCAATATTTTTTACTACCAAGTGAGTGCCTGGCATTAGAAGAATTTCTAGTGAGCAAGGGTTAGTTGAGTATTTAGAAATATCTTTGGCATTAACAGTATCTATCATAAATAGTACTTCTTTTTTGTCAGAGCACTCTTTTGTGATAAAATCAACCCATTTTGAACAAGAACTGATACCAGACCAAGCGATACGTTCTTCTAGTTCTATTTGATCTAATATCCCAGTTGCACCAGCTTGCCAACAGCGTCCTTGAAAATTTGGCATTTTTTTAACAGCGGAATAAAATAATTGGAGAAATGGCAACCATGAATTTCGCTTTTTTTCATTGCCAGAACGTAATGCTGCATTGACTAACACATACAAGCTCTCTTTATCCATTTCCTTGGTATAAAGACATAAGGCAATGCACTCATCCAAAGTAAGTTTGTACTGCTTATCATTAGGGAAACGCTTTTCAACCTCGCTGATAAAAGCATCCCAATCAGGCATACGAAATGTTACTTGCGGGAGAGCTCGTGTTATTCGTAGAGGAGGATCATTTGTTTCTAATCCGTCAATAGGCACAAAACTTTTATTTTCCCATTCAATTTGTGCGAATCGATGAAGAGTATTAATTGTTGCCATTATTAATTGACCATAACACGTAAAGGACTCAAAACATTTCTGTGAAGTACATTGATGTCCCTCTTTTTTATAAATGGTTCTTGCCGTCTTCCAACTTCCAAAATAGAAACAGAAAAGAGATTGTTGCTCGTTTTGAAAGTTTTAAATTCTTCATAATGTACACAATTGTCTACAGCAAAACACCAACAAGATTTCTCTCTCTTGTCAATACAAACAAGTAATGTATTTTTCTGTTCTCGTAGGAAGAAGAAAAATATTCTGTATTGCTGAGTCATGTTACACTTAACTATTGCCAACAATACCGCTAAGCAGATGAATTGATTGAAATCCACAACATATGAAAACAAAACAGACAAACTCGCATTAGTGGATTAAGCGAGTATCGAATAATCGAAGAACAAGTGAAGTGTTTTATTATTCTTAACTTGGTATGTAAATTTTTCCAAAACCATCACATTCAGCTATTTTCCGGTGTATGAGTATGAACATGGATGTGATTTATATGATTAAGTACTGTATGCATGCAAAAGTGCGCTATGTCAAAAATTATTTTTTGCAACAAATTTTTATGATTCATTCTTATTTTAAGAGTAAAGAAAGTGGTGCATTTTCCACAGACTATTCCCCCGCAAGTTTTGTTTTTCTTTTAAATATTTTTTAATTGAGACTCATATGAAGATATTAGATCAACCAATCAAACCTTGGACATTTCTAGTTTTGAGGGTGTAGGTGTGGGCATTTTTCTCCCTTTGGCTTACCCATGCTTGTGCATTCATACCCTCACCTTCACACACACCCACACCCACACCTCTGATTGTTGTGCGAATGCTTCAGCTGTACAAGAATCGGTTGTCGGTGATAAAAAAAAAGACTTTTCATTGATATAAATTCATTTATACTCGAATGTATTTTTGTTAATTCATCTTTTTTCAGTTATTCTTGTTTCAATCGCTCATAAATATCTTTATTTAAAAAACTAAATATACACAATATATAAATGTCTTGTGTACGCAATACTTTATTTAAAATTCTATTAACACAAGATTGAAGTATATATCACCAAAGAGATGTTTCAGATGAATAAGTTTTTTTCGAATTCTTCAATAATAGATGTTAATAAACGAGTCATCCGTAGTGAAAATTTCAACAAATACTTGAAACAGCATGACAGATTTATGATCAGATTTCAATGATGCATGAGATAATTCACGTTTGTATATACTGATACCAATTGCTTCTTCATGACTTTCATGTTGTTAGGCTAGTTTTGTATTGCCAATTCATGGATGTCCGATAATAAAGCTTTAACCTAGAACAAAAATAAAATGTTACAAAATTCGCTTAGTAGTCATTACTGATATTCTTCTCTCTGATTTCTTTCAAAAATTGTGTCAATTGAGATACAGATTCACGATAGTGTAACTACACACTGCAGACTTAACCATTGATTTACTGTGACGTGATCTTACGTAGACTCTTATTTCATCGAAATAATCTAGTTAATTATCAATATGATACAAAGTTCACGATTCAAACGAACAGTAACACGTCTAATTTTTGTTTTACTTTTTTTTCTGGTTTTTGCCTATGATTCGTTTGACTTTATATTCAAACAGTAAATGTATATTACATTCAATTGTGATAAAAAATAAATATTTGGAATCAATTCTTTACCGTATCTACCTGATACAATTAATACAATACTGTTTACATCTTCAATCTTTCGAATATATTGTTCACATGTATGACAATCTTCAAATATTTTTAATTTTTTGTTTTTTTGAGCATTTATGTTTTTTACTCTATTAAATGAATATTTTCATCTAGCCATAACAATGAAAATCTTTTCAGATTTTATGATATTAAAGATGATAGCATTAGTTTGCAAGCTGGTAGTAATAGTGATGCTAAATAACCCATAGTGTTATTATCAATATAAAATTAATCAAACACTTTGAAATCAGATCATTTTTTGTTGATGAAATATGAAAATGCTTAAAAGCTTTTAAGGAATTCTCTGTCGTGACAAATGTGTTTATCATTACTGGGATTTGAATAAATGATCAAGGTGCGGGTGTGGAATGAGGGTGTTTTCTTCTTCGCTTTTGCACTCACACTTACTTTTTTAATTTTATCTATTTTAGTAGCTAGAAAATGAAGAACTGCAATTAGCATTTATATAAAAATAATTGATTTTTTTTGTTCTCTGATATTATATTCATTCTAACCTCTATAATTCTTTTATTGAGGAAATATGATTTTGGATTTTGAGTGGCGAAATCGTACAGATGAGTTCATCTTCACTGATGTTAATACCGTTCAATGAATTCATAAGTGAAAATAATTCGAGGACTAATATGATTCGTTGTATATATATGACATGAGATTGAAATTCAATTTCATTTATTACAAAATCAATATGAGTTTTTAAGTCTATAAAATGAGTTCCTAGGTGGAAATGAAGATGCATGTGAATGTTTTTTTTTCCTCATATTGATGCTAACATTCACACGCTCTTACACGTGTTCGCACACTCTATTTGTCAACAATCTTGCATTGATTCATTGCTAATTGAAGCATAATTCAAATTTCTTTTGCTAGTTCATTTGTTTGATTTTTTCGCAAGATATCAACATAAACTAGTCCATATGGTAGCCAATTATGCTGAAACGATCGACAATAAACATTTTCAGAGGACTCAACTTACACAGATTGCTGCAAATGTCATAATCACTTAAGAAGCTCATTTATTTTCCCTATTGATCAATCAATATCAATCTTTTTGATTAGTACTTTATACAGGGGTAAGATTTTTTTTTTGTGTACGAATGAAGTTTTTGAAAAATACTTGAAAATATTGGCTTTGACATCAATAAAAGAATTTAGACGTTCTACAATTTCAAATATCTGAATATTATTGCACAAAATAATTGAAGATAAATGAGAGATACTTTTCCGCATTGCAATCAAAATAAAATTCTTCAACGTCAATATGTACATGCCTATACGCAATTAACAGGAAACAAAAAAGAAAAATATTGGAGCCTGACTTTTTCTTCTGATGACTCATCATTGACTCAATATGTTTTCATTTATAACGATTGGGAAATTGTATTCTTCTTTTTCCCATATCCGTCAGGTTTTTTTCTCTTAGTTATCATTTTGTCCCACATAGTTGTCATTGAATTACGACACCAAAAAATCGTATATAAATAGATATTATAAATTTTGTTTTTATTCATTGATTACAAGATAAATATAAGTATTATTATACACAAGCATATACGTATATCTGTTTTGTTCTGTCAAGATTAGCTGATTATCTCGTTCAACAGTAGGTTTCTTTGTTGCAATAAAACAATGAGAATTTTTTTTTCTTTTATTTAGATCATCTGATCATCAAAGTGAACGGTAAATATTATTTTATTCTAAGGACTTTGTTTGTCCTGCTATTCACTCTAAATGACGAGAAACAAAGAATTTCGTTTGACGTTCAGAAGAAATAAGTATGAGTATGATGGTAAATGATATAGACATTGTGATTTTGTTTGAAAGTCATCAAGAAGTGACCATCTTTTTTTTTATAATCATCAGAAAAAATCGCTAGATTGGACAATTTAAATCATTGCACATGAACACATATCTCTGCCATATTATGACCGAATAAACTGATATTTTTAATATGGATAAAGAACTATTAGTTATACTACTTCAAAACAATTTTTGATCATGTTTCTCTTATGAATATGAACTATGCATAGTTTTTTCTTAGTAATAAAAATATCAGCCCATTCGATAAAAATATGACGGAGACATATGTTTAGGTTTTTCTCTCTTTTATTACTTTCTAGACTGTGTGTAGTTACCGGAGGTAACCTGGTGTTGTCAGGTTACCATCAGTATTTAAAAAGTGGTAATTATTTTGTAGAAAGATAATACATTACCACTAGTATTGAAACAGTACGCAAGTCGTTGAAAGAAGTATTGTTCTGTTCTTCAAATATTGAAAGGAAGCGTTTTAATTTACCGACAAAAAGTTTCGAAAAATTTCAGTTTAACTTTATTGGTCTGAGAATCAATATTAAGCTCTGATTATTTTTACTAGTTTACTTTGGTTGTATGAAAAATCAATTTTTCATTTAGTAGTCCATCTCTGGTTTCACAAAAAGTTTCTATTGTTGTTCTGTTACAAGGCTTCGTCTTTTGATAGTAGTAAGTCTTCTGATTGCAAATATCATATGTTTTCTAAAACTACTCAAATAATAGAAAAGATCGGAAATAGTCTGAAGAAATAAAAATCCAGTTGTTGATCTTAAAGTCGAATAAACTTCAATCTAAGTTCGTAGGAAATAGATTCATTTCAGGCAGAATTTTATTGTCTATCAGAATATATAAGAAACTTTTTAAATATTCAAATTTGTTTTTACTGATGAATGTCAAGCACCTCCGCAATAGACTCCTATTGTTCATAGTAATGATCGTTTGAATCTCATAAAGTTATTGTTTCAACAAGTACACTAGCAAGGGCTTTTTATAAAAGAATATATAATTCAATGTACTCTTTCTGACAGTATCCTTATAAACCAGAAATTCGATGTATAGCGAAGCACTTTTGTCTAACTGCTATACGTGTGAGTCAACTTGCTTCTTTATTGGGTAATTTTGTACGGTTTTTGGATAAAAGTATTTATATTTGACTTGAAGCAAATGTCATGTCTGAAATTAGCACAAAAACTGAAACGGTTTATATATGTTCCAAAAGAAGCCTCAGGTGTGAGCAAAAGTCGCAATACAATACAAAATGAATTGGTACTTTATATTGAAAAATTGATTCAAATCGATCAGCTGTTGATGAGTTCACCGATACTAACAAATTGATGAGAAAAGTAGTTTTTCGATAATTTGTCTCTATCGGTATCTCAAAGGGGATTTCGTTAGGTAACTGAAATTTTGATCATAAACAGACCACTTAGAAAACTAACCCTGAACAAAATTCAGCT